GCATCTTCTTTAGTTCCATACTCTTTCATTTCTAGTGTTTTATCATGGGACTGCGGGAGGGTAATCTCCATTGGAAGGGGAGTTTCTTCAGTATAAATTTCATCCACTTGCTCTTCCCACACTTCAGAATATTTCTCAACTTCAAATTCTTCTTCTACAGCCGATTCCTCCTCGGTTTCGGATTCTTCATTAGCTTTCTCCATATCGTGATCTTACAAGTGCGAATTCTCCTCAACATCTTCAGTGAATCTCTGACGGGTGCCTCTCGAGTTTTGAATAAGGATCTCATCTTTTGTTCGAATTGCAAGAGTGCTTTTCTTTAGTGGGAGAGGATATCTTGTTGTGAATGTGTGACGAGATGATTTTCTATACAGACCTCTTAAGTTAGAATCAATGGCTCCTACTGAGCTTCTTGTTCAGCTATTGGTTAGGCCTTGAGTTCCTGGTATTCATCGTAAACCACTTTCTCGATCAGCGCTGGAGTTTCTTCAGGTTTCGTAGTGTTGTAAAACGGTCTTCCAATTGCTAAATCTAAGTTTATTCTTAAAAGTGGGCATAGACAATTGTAGAAAGTGCGAGCCGATTGCCAATCTTCAGGAAGGTAATTCGGGTTTTTTGCATAATCCTTTAAGTCTAGCCCAAGTTTGATGTAAATATTCTCCTTTCTTTTGTGCGAAGTAGTCAATCTCCTCTTTAGCCCTTTTTTACTTTAGATGATGGGAAATAATTGCTCCAAAATTTGAATTTCAGGTCCTCCCATGTGGAAATGCTTCGTCGAGGTTGAGACTTCAACCACGTCTTAACTTTATCTTTCAGAAAGAAGGGAATCAAATGGACCTTAATGGAGTCTTCAGTGGCTCCTTCTATCCTTATGCCACTGTAGAAATTCAGAAATTGATCTATCAGATTGTGAGGATCCTCTGCATGTTCACCCTCTACATTCAATGTCGAGCAATTCTTCCTCCAAATCTGATGGAATTTCGAATTGATCAACATGATGTTGATGGTATCTCTTAGAGAAACAAATCTTTTTTATTTTTTTATTTTTACTCTTCCTAACTCTGGTTCGTACTATAAGGTACTGAGGTCAACAGTGTCTCACAGTTGCATATACCAGATAAACTATGGCAAAGTAGGTCCAACTAACGGCTCCACTACACTAACAATAAAAGTAAAAATAAAAATAAAAATAAAAATAAAAATAAACAAATAAAATAAAAATAAACAAATAAAATAAAAAATGAGTCAATCTAGGATTTAATAGATATGATTAATGTTGATAAAAATCAATTCCCGGCAATGGCGCCAAAAACTTGTTGCGATCACGGCAAGTATACTGGTCGTAAGGGTAATATAGTGAAAAAGAGTCGGGTTGTCATTCCCACGAGGATTGATGTACCAAGCACTAACTTATCTACGCAATCAAAGTTGGACTAATCTTTAAGGTTTTCTTGATAATATGATTATAAATTAATTAAAACAGAATTATAAAACTAAATTAACAAGATCAAGAACAATAATAAGGAACGCAAGAACATAATCAAGAATGATTTAAAATTAATTAAAATCAAGCTTAGCTAGGGATTTGATTTCGCCATTTTCTTCGTAATAAATTTATCCTTTCCTATAATTGACATTCAAGAACATGTTATTGACGATTTTTTCTAAATTAATTAAATTCCAATCTCTTTGAAATTTAAGCTTTTACTCTATTCAAAATCTTAATCCCTTAGTGATCTCTGCTAGAGCAAGTATTAGGAAAAAGAATCGTAAAGTCATAGGATTCATAAGTTATGTCTGGATCATACAAACCCTAACAATTAATCAATCAGAATTATGACACTAACATTCCTATTTTCATGTAAGATTCATGTGTTTATTTATGAGTGATAAGTTAATAAACAAAGCTAGTCAAGGGAAAATAGATTAAATGCATAATATAAAGTTGACTATCAAATTACAAGAAAGGAATAAATAAAATTAAGAATCCATTGGTTTCATCTAACCCTAACTAAATAAAGAAACTTAGCCTAGCATTGTCAAAGAATCAAGAACAAGAGATAACAAGAAAATAAATAAAAGCATAAAGAACGAGGTAACTGGTCTCCAAGGCGAAGCCGTGACCGTTCGTCCACCTTCTCCGCTTCAGAACAGAGCTCCTTTGCCTCTCCCCTCTTTTCTGCCACCCAAGAATTATGAATTTCCTCTGAAAATTAGATTAAATATGTATAGGAACCCTAACTTTGGGTGAAAATCCTATAATGGACCTTAGTTGGGTTGCAACTGGGTGTTAAAACGGGCCTGAGCGCGTTTTTTGGTAGCAAAACATGGTTTCATATTTTGGCCATAATTTGATTTATACTCATCCAATTTATGTGATCTTAGTCTTGTTGGAAAGATAAACAAGAGATCTACAACTTCTATGCAAAATACGAGATCTAAATCCATTGTATGTGATGCTAAAAATTGGCTGGAAGATAGCTTTATAGAGATTTTCACTAAATGGCTGGTCATCATTTATCGCTTTATTTCCTTCTAACTTAACCATTGCTCCAATGCTCCAATTCAAGTTAATTATCCTACCAAATAAGAAAAAGTCATTCACATGAGTTAATAACTCAAACTCTATGTTTTTTAGCCAAATAACTAAGTTTTCATGATAAACTTTGAGTTTATCAATGCTCTTCACATAGAATGCCATTTCTTTTAACTTAATTAAATGCAAAATGTGATATCATGGAAAGAACTGATCAATTGTATGTTGTGATTATATGATATTACAAACAACTTTATATAGTCTCTATTTAATACCACAAGTCCATAAAATCATTCTTATTTTTTCGGTAGAAGGCAAATGTTTTGGAGGGGGAATCCTGCAATTTATCACTTGAGGAGTTTCATGAGGTGCATCGAGAGGTTCATTCATCAGTTCTCAAGCAAAAATTGTTGGATCTTCTCCAAATCTCAGCTATTCTGCTCTTAGATATTAAATTAAAATATAAATCTTAACTTTGATTTAATCTTTTAATATATTCTGCTTAAAGAATGACATATCATTAATTATTAACTTTTCTTTTAAAAGTTTTAATGTTGGAAAATGAACCACCCCATTTTTGTCTGGCCATATGAACCTGTAGGGAAACATAGTCTTTTCAAAACCAAATTATCACCAGCATGGCAAAAAAAATTAATTTATTGTAATTTAAATAAAAAATTACGAATTTATTGTTATTTTGAAACTAGTTACGTGTGTATAGCAGTGTGTCACGCCCAGATTGTGCATCACCAGTCACGCCTAAGTTAGGCATCATCCAAGAAGCACTCACGCCTAATTTAGGCGTGACTCGTCTGGTTTTGACACATGGCACAAAAAATTAATAATTTAATCATAAAACATCTGAAGGCCATATATAACTTTTGATTCAAGTATCCAAATCAGATAATTCTTTTTTTTTTATTCGACATAACTTTTCGAGATCTACGCAATGACATCTTATTTGGCATATTTTATCTCTCACAAACACAATTTGAATTTGCAACAATGAGACTTTATCTTATAAGTCATGGTCTGAAATTAATGATGGTACCAAAGTTGATTAGTCCATTTATAAATAAGAACACTTAATGTCATAGTAGAATATATATTTTCTACCAAGTGTTTCAAAAAATAGTGTATAATATTGTGAGAAAAGAAAGTGCCACAATATAAAAGTGTGAGCGAGATTGATGAGAATATAATATTCTTTAAGTTGCATTAAAAAATACAAAACTTTTGATATATTGCATTAAAAATATGTTCTTATGCTGTGAAACATGCTTTGATAAGAGGGTTTGAGGTGAATTATACTATCATAGACGTCGAAGAACGCATTATTTCAAACATATATAGCATCTCAAACCCTCTTATCAAAGTATGTTTCAGAGCATAAAGTTCACCAGAAGAATCTATGAGTCCCATGAAAAGGCTGCAATTGGATGTCCCTTTGTCATATTTCATCTTTGTGGATGATGTTATTTAAAATTTTACTTCCTAGCATTAAGAAATAATTCTCCAAAAAAATTTTAGTGCGTAGATATCAAAAAGTTATGTGGAATTAAAAAATCACTTGCTTCGGACTTCCAAGCCAAAAAAATTACATGGGTTTTCTTTGAATTTCTGAGGGACCACGATTTCAACTAATTGAATTTATTTTGAATTTCTGAGGGACCACAAGTCGACTTTTTTTTTAAAGGATTAAATGCTTCTGGGTTTATTTGGGTTCGAAAATACTTCTTGGTTTATGTTCTTATAGTACCATTGTTGCAAATTTGATATGTGTTTGTGAGAGATAAAACATGTCAAACGAGGTATTGTATAAACCTCGAAAAGTTATATGGAATAAAAAAAAAATTTACTTCATTCGGATACCTGAGTCAAAATTTATTATGGACTTTCGAAATTTTACGTTAAATTGTTAACTTTTTGTAACACGTGTCAACACCAGACGAGTCACGCCTAAATTAGGTGTGAGTGCCTCATGGGTGACGCCTAACTTAAGCGTGACTGGTAACGCCCAATCTGAGCGTGATACACTGCAATACATACGTAAATATTTTCAAAACATCAATAAATTTGTAATTTCTTATTTAAATTATAATTAATTAATTTTTTTCCCTCACCACCTGACGCATTAAAGCACAATGATTACACAATCACAATGACATCACTTCCTACACGTGGCAAACATTCAGCCGTCGAAATACACACGCGTTGAGTTCACACAGGAAAGATGTCAGTCAAAGGCGCGGAATTTTCCTTGCAAAGTACGTAATTAAGATCATAGTATAAAAATAGCAAGTGCCTCATTAATTTATTATTGTCTTCAAAGTACTACGGCTAAGTGTGACTTCTAACACTAAATAAATATCAGACCCAAAGAAGAAGAAGAAACATAAGATATATAGTTGTTATCTTCCACTCAAAAAATAAGGCAAAGAAAAACATAGTGAAATTAAGAAGAATGGAGGATGTTAATGTTGTTTCGGAACATAGTACTAAAGCAATTGAAGAGCTTCTGAGAGGGCGTGAGTTTGCTAACCAGCTTAAACAACTCATCAATATTGGTGATGATCATGATGATCAGTCAGCAACAACAACCCCGTTTGTCCAAAGCCTTGTGAAGAATGTTCTAACCTCCTTCACCAACGCCTTCTTGCTCTTGAACAAATACCCCACTAATTCCCAATCACATAATCAGGTTTCTCAGATTCAAAAAAGCGGCTACAGTACTAAATCTGAGGACTCTCAAGAAAGTTGCAAGACTTCCACCATTAAGGACAGAAGAGGGTGTTACAAGAGAAGGTTTGTTTGTGTGTGTGTGTGTATATATATATACTACATATATATTCTAGTTAATTCTGATATGATATGATATATTTTAATTTCATCAATTTCATTTGTACATATGCAGAAGAACTACACAAACATATGAGAAGTTGTCCAAAACTACAACAGGTGATGGCCATCAAGGGAGAAAGTATGGCCAAAAATTGATACTCAATTCCAAATACTCAAGGTACTTTATCAATTATCAATTCTTTATCTCATATTAACAAGGATGTTTGAATTAACTAAGATTTCTCACCAACCCTATTCTATTTATAATATTACTGATTTTGGAAACATAAAATTAATTACAAAAATCCATGATATTAATTAAAAAAGTTACAATTAATAATATGCAGGCACTACTACAGGTGCACTCACAAGTTTGATCAGGGTTGCCAAGCAACAAAACAGGTGCAGCAAGTTCAAGAGGAGCCTCCATTGCATAAGATCACCTATTATGGTCATCACACTTGCACAAACTTCTTACTAAACCCTGAGATCATACTTGATTCCAATTCTCCTCCTAATGACTCTTCCATATTGCTTAGCTTTAACAACACCTTCCCAATTCCAACAAAACAAGAGTGCCCCTTATTATCACCATCTTTTCCCACTCCACCACTTGAGAAGTGTATGGAGGAACTTCCTTCAATATCTTCCCCAGATGATTACCTGCTCTCCCCTCACCCCACCTTAGATAATGCTTTTAGGGATGACACTCTATCATCTGTCCTCCAATCTGATCACAGAGATGTCATGTCTGGTTTCTTGTATGATTCTTTTGACCTTGATGATGATGTCTTTCAGAGCATTTCGCTGGTTTTTGATGATTCAGTATGTTTTCAAGTGTAATCTTTTTCCTTCTGGTGAAAGGAGTGCAATATAAGTAATACGAAAAGTTAATTAGTAAAAGTTGCTTCATCTTTTTCTTGAAAGTGGCAAGAGCTTGAGCTCCATCAATGCAGTATCTTTACTTAATAATGCGTGTTTGATATATTATTTTGTATTATATTTCCTTCAGATTCTAATGAAAATGTGTCCCTTTTAAAGAGGAATAGAGCAGCTCAGTGCAATGAATATATGGGTCACAGCATTTTAAATCCATATTAATGATGAAACGAACCAAAATTATATATATATAGGGCAGGTTATATTTACAAACTTTTTTGTTTACAAACTCTTACAAACTACATTAAGTACGACCGGTCATACTTTAATCATGCAGTGTACCACCGGTCGTACTTAATGTAATTTGCAAAAAAAGTTTGTAAGGTTATCGTTACAACTTTTTTTTTCTTACAACCTCTTACAACTATATCTTAATACTGTTGATTTCTGCCAATAAATGATTACCATTTATTGTAAATTAATAATTAATTAATGAGTTTAAGTTGCGAAAATCATAATCGTTGATTGACGAAAATCAACGATGTTAAGATATGATTGTAAGAGATTGTAAAAAAAAAGGTTGTAACTATATATAACCTACATCTTTAAAAAATAAGTAAGTTTTTGGCTTTTTTATGACTTATGCTTTTTTTAAAAGAAGATATCCAAACAAATTTAAAGTGAGAAATGCTATTTTTTTTTCTTAAAAAAGTAACTTTTTTTAAAAAAAATCCATCCAAACAACCCTTTATCTGAATAAACAAGTCCAAATTAATTGAATTCTCGTGTGAGAAATTTATGGAATTTATTTTTTATTTACATAAAAAATATAGAGGAAATGTTTTTTGCATCTGTCAGAAATTTTTACTTGCTAGAGAGGAAATAAAGGGCGGGATCTATTAGTTACCATATTCTCTCTCTGTTTTTTTCTCTCTATGGCATATAAAACATTTCTACCACATATGCCAAAAAACAGTTTCCTAAATACTATTTGCCTAAAACTTTATGGTTCCCTTTTTTTTATGATGCTGTAAAAAATTTTATCTTATATCGTCCATTATAACTAGACATTCCATGGAGTATATAATTATAATATTAATTTTTTTTTTATCTTTCTACATAAACAGAGAACTTATAGGAGAGAAAAAAATAGTTTTAATATTATAACTATATACTCTGCGGAGTACATAATTATAATGAATGACATAAAATAATTTTTTTTGCAACAACATATATATCACAATGATTTCCCAAAGTTTATACGTAGATAATCTAGAAGTCACTGCTCTTTATCAGATCTTATCAAGTACACTTTCAGTATTACGAGAGGAACAGTGACTAATTTGTCACTTTAAAAAAAAATTGTCGAAATGCCACGCAAACAGTAAAATTTTTCAAAGTGCCACGTTTACAAGTTCATTATATCAAGTAGCGAACCTTATTTGCTGATGTGCATGTTTTTAGACCTAGTTCGCTACTCATAATAACGAACTACGTGAAATGTCAATCTACTCTGAATATTGTTAGGACACGTGTCAATCTCGTATAAGTTCACTAGACTGGCTAGTGAACTAGGTGAGAGTAATTAAACACTTTGGATGAACAAAAAGCTGAATGAAAAAGTTAAATGAAAAAAACAAAAAGTTGAATGAAAAAAAACTTTGAAAAAGAAAGAGACAAAGTGTAATCAAACGTGAATTTGTATGAATGTACTGTTATCAACACACATAGTTCGCTAGTGCATAGCGAAACTAGGTGTTCTGAGACCGATATTTCACATAGTTCGCTATTATCAGTAACGAACTAGGTCCAAAAACATGTCACATCAATAAACAAAGTTCGCTACTTATTGTAGCAAACTTGTACACGTGACACTTTAGAAAATTTTACTGTTTGCATGACATTTCGACAATTTTTATTTTGAAAAGTGGCAAATTGGTCACAGTTCCATTACGGGAATATCAATTTCTTTTAACAAAAAAATAGATACGAGTGAAATTAAACATAAATATATAAATGAATTATTTTTTATCGTATTTAGTAAAAAATATACTCTAATGTTCAGTACTCTCATAACAGTGAATATATTTTATTTTCTCAACATATAAAAAGCGGAAAACTAAAAGGAATATGATTAGGTGGTGATCCGAAAGGGTAAATTATATAAGTAATATATATCTATTATTAATTTGATTAAAAATAAATTGTAATTAATCTTTAAATACTAAAAAATATATTTAATTATTATTTTTGATATATCTACCGTTTTATTAATGACCTGATCAATCCGATTCGAACAATGTTAAATCCATAAGTAGTCAGCTCTTGAAGATTATTTTCTTCATTCCCATGTCCAACTTAATTGTATAAAATTTGTCAATAAGTTCATCTTTTATAAAAAGTTTTTTCAGTTAATAATAGCAAGTTTGAAACATTTATCTTTCAAGGCATGAACTGTTGGAAGTATTCAAGTATGAGTTGTAAAGAAGTACCACATTGGCTAGACCTAGACCAAGTGATGACCATATAAGTGCAAAAGACCCATAAACTTACAGCCTTAAGGTTTTGGGTTAAAATGTGGTGTCGGCCCACTTATTGTGGTTTATCACTTGGCCCATGGATGTATCCCTTGCAATGGGTTTTGGGCTCCCCCATACCATTCCCAACAGTGGTATCAGAGCCAAAGGTTTGGCTGGGCCGGGTATTTAGAGATGGTGATGTTTCAAGGCCTCTGCAGAAGGCTAGTGTGACTCCAATACTTAAAGAAAAAAGACTTCCGCAGAAGTTGCCCTTAAGGGGGAACATGATGTTGGGTCTCATACTTGAGGGGAAGATGTTGGACGTATTCAAGTATGAGTTGTAAAAAAGTACCACATTGGCTAGACCTAGACCAAGTGATGACCATATAAGTGCAAAAGACCCATAAACTTACAGCCTTAAGGTTTTGGGTTAAAATGTGGTGTCGGCCCACTTATTGTGGTTTATCACTTGACCCATGGATGTATCCCTTGCAATGGGTTTTGGGCTCCCCCATACCATTCCCAACATGAACAATATTACATCACGTATATAGAATCTAACAACACTCAATTAATTAGTAAAATATCACGTCATGAAAATTTCTTAATTTATTCAAACATTCCAATATTCCCCTTGATTGCCTGCGTTCAGAAAGTATATAGTAATTAATTTGACCAGAATGAAATTCTTCCTCCAATCAGTTATGATGGTCTTGTCATCATCTTTTGTGTGTATGAACAAATACCATGTGTTTAGAAATTAATACAAAGAATGCAGAAAAAAGATTATGGGGCCTTCATAATAGTTTACCACTATATATATATTTGACATAACATATTTATTAAGGGTGGAACGAAAAAGACAAAATAGTAAAGTGAAAATTAGAGTCGTGGAAGGACGGCGCCTTTTAAATAATAAAAATAGAGATAGGGTGATTGGAAAATGTGGTGTTTTGGTGAGGGAACGGGACAACCTCTAAAGACGTGTGGGGATGGGTTCAGATATTCAAATTTTCAAATGTTGTAATGCTTAACTTTTGCCATCTAGAACAACCAAACTACTAAAATCTTATTAATGTCTACTCTCTAGCTCTCTCTAGTAAGAAAAAAAAATGTTGTGCCCCATAAATTTTATAAAGTACATGTTACACTTCCTTAAATTATAACATCTAAATATATTTACACCTATTTTTTATAGTTTTTTTAATACCTCTCAAGTCAAGTCCATGTATTATAGCTTAAATAGGTATAATATATGAGGATTAATTTTTTTATTTTAACTCACAATATATAAGTGAGGTCCAAAAAAAGTGAGAAGACAAAAAATTATGATGCAACTCACCTTTTAATTATTATTCTAACATAAGAAAGTTTTCTCACGTAAAATGAAAAAACTATTTCTCATAATATATATAAGAGGACTAAAAAATTGTGTCCATGTATCTAACAACAAAGTATAAACTGGTACACTCATTTTCGAACAAACAAGACTGTTGTTGAAGGTTTCACACTGACAATTGAAGAAAGGTTGGTTGAAAACTTTGAATTGAACAATGGGATCTTTCGTATTTTTGTCTTGAATTGCTTCAACAACTTCTTAAAATATCAGTATATAGTAATATTTCACCGTCAACTCTCAGCAACCAGCACAATGAGCGCATATTTATATAACATTACTTTTCTTTGCTAGCTGGAGTTCTTATTTCTTTTTAGTAAAATGGGTATCTTCAAGATTGCGTTCAGCAGAAATGGATAGAACAAATTTTGAAGGAAAAAGAAGTATAATGTTATAAGAAAGTTGTTAAGTAATGTTATAGAGATAAAGATTATGGGATCCACATTTGTTTTCAAAAAACAAAAAAGCAAAAATAGTATGGGTCCACAATCTATATCTCTATAACATAACCTAACAATTTTCTTACAATATTATATTTCTATTTCCCATTTTTAAATTATTCTATTTATGTGCTTGGTTTTTTCTTTTGTTTAATTAGGAGAGCTATAAACTACCTTTTAAGTTTTTATTTTCTTTCTAATGCGACGTCATATGTGCAGGCCAATAACTGTTAGTGTACATGCTTCTTGAAAATAAATTGTCCCGAAATCAAATCTTAAAAGAAAAAATTGGTAATTATATTATTTTACATGGTGGATGACTATCTTCAATAGGTGTTATTAGGCAGTATTAGGTGCCTTTGTGATTACAATAGTTTGTATCTCTAAATAAAGGTGCATTATAAACCTACCCATTATGTAATTGTGTAATCTCTTATATTCTTTTATTCCTATATAAAGAGATTATCTTATGAAGACTGTGTAAAAAGAAACAAAGATTATAGTTAGTTCCTCAAGAACTAGACTTTTAGAATTCATATACTCTTCATCTCTTTCTCTACATTTTTTTTCTTATTTCATAACATGTTATCA